TTTTATTACCATCATATGGACTCATAAACAAAAAGCAATGCATGAAGCTTGACTGATGCGTACTATGTAGCAATGAATTAGGAATCAAGATATCAAGTCGGATCAGTTTGTTTCCAGCCCACATGCTTTACACGACCCATTTAGAAACGCATATGGTCGTATCCTTGTCGCGTAAAGGCTAATAAGGTCAATACCACCATCCATCTCCACAACTTACTTTTCGGACTCCTGCATTCTACGATCAGACGAATCGTTCGTATCAAACGTAAACTACTCCGTCTCCTAGAATGAAACCACAGGGTACTGTTCAGACCCTCAAATCCCGAACTTCCTTTCCGATCCACAAGGCGCATGCAGTTGCAAGTTACAAATGAACCGCCCAAAATAGTTTGAAAGGTGTTGTATTGCCCTGAGTTTGAAACTTTAGCGTCGAAAATGTACTAGGACAAAAGGTAGCTTTTAGTGGCTCTTTGTTTTAGAGCATTTCAACCCAGTACAGATATGTGATGTTCAAGAAAGGATATTTAAGTAAAGTTGCATTGAAAAGTTGTATTTAAACCGTATTCTTTGTTCGGTTTCTCGTCTTCATCAAAACGCACGTTGAATCAAACGCTTAACTGAAATTTACTTAACTCGAAATTTACGTGAAGATAAGTGCATCGAAGCTTTGGGCGGATTGAAACTCCATCACTGATTAATTTTTGCTGTCTTAGAAAAAATTATGTTATGAGAAATTGTAGCTTTTTCTAATTTTCAGCCCGAAAATAACACAAACTGACCTTTATCAACAAAGTCTAAGTACTGGAAGTTGCTTCTAATATTCGTAACATCTCTATATTGGTGTCGTTTGTTGATAGAGCTGGGGAAAGGGACTCAGTGGGGGACACTGAACATGTGTGGAGGAGCGGTGGGCGGGGGTGGTGTTTTGTGACATATGCCCGGTTTATACTAACCTCCATTGTTTTTTACTTGATAACTAAGTGGTGCGCATGACACTTAGATTGGTGACTTTAAAAGTGTATCTCAAGGACTGAAAGACTGTGTGCTTTAGCTTCATCTCAAGAAGAGCTGTGGAAGTAGAGGTATGTTGAAACGCACCAAATTGTGTGTTAATGGTGTCGGTGTGGTACGCAACGTTTCGTTGTATTGACAACAATGTTGGAGATATCAGAAGTCCTGGGACTGTGGACGTCAACTGATGTATCATGACCCTTCCCCAAAATTGTACCACAAAAATGGGATAAGTAGGATAGGGATTCTGTAAGGTCATGGAATGCGATGTCTTCAAATATGTGACCTAATGACCTTACAAGATGCTGCATCTGAAAGGTAGATAACCTAAGCTGCTGAAGCTGCTCAGGAGCCAAATTTCAAAAAGTGAACTTCACCTTGGACATGTTCTCTGCTGGACATGTCCTTTAATGTATTGGCATACCACATCTTGTGTTGGAGCATAGTACCACATTATGGTGAAAATTGTTTTGTATTTATGCTATTATGCTGGGGAAATTGTCCAGAATTTTGTACATGTTCACCATCAATTTTAGTGTATATGAGAACCAGTGTTTCATGGCATTTTGGTGCAGCTAAGGTAACTTCAGTCAGACATGCTTCAAACAACTTTGGAATGCAAACTTAATCAGATATCTTTCAGCTAAATTTGGCCTTGCCTGAGTTTGGTGCACATGAGAGAGGTGCAGTGCACCAATGCCCTGAAGGCTCTCACATGGTGGATATTTTGCAAGTGTGTGAGAAGGAGCATGTTAAGTGTAATGGTAACACCTGGGCCCCATTTTTTTAAAGCTTGGGCTTGAAAACTTCATTGTGCTGAATTCTTATTTGTTTTGGTGTATAATAATATTTTCAGGATAATTTTGTGCCAAGTTACCCTTACTTCATTATTTTAGCATTATTCCTTCTAACATTGCCTTTCTACATGCTGAAGTTGGTGGCAGAATGTGAAAACTCAAGACTGCACTTAGGTGCTTGTTATCAGAGCTTTGAGTGCTGAGATGTATGAACTTAGTGCTCATTTTTATAAGGTACCTGGATCAAATTGTCTGTGTGGATGGACTGGATTGGACTAATTCTGCCATGTTCATAGTTAGTCAAAAATACCAATCAGCCAGTATGCAGCTGATGCCAGGTTTTGATGGGAGCTTGCTTGGGCACTGGCACAGCCTCAAGCATCAGGCATTTAGGCCCTCAGAAGCAGCTTGTTAAGACCCCTGTCACAATTTGCAGACTGGCCAGTGTTAGTGTGGAGTAGCACTTTATATGCAAGCAAACTGTGCTGAACATTACCTTGTTTTCATTATGTTGTGTTTTGTTAGCAGGGATTTGGAAATATTATATTTGGGATTGCTATGCATTGCAATACATGCCAAATGGTAAGTGGTAAATACATGCCATGGCCATTGACAGTTCCTGTCTGTTATGAAGCCCTGTTTGATGCCTGTTGGCCAAAACTCTATTCTACATGGTTGTAGTTGGCTGCAAATGACAGGTCTTATTTTTTTTAAGATGTTTGATGTTGGTCTCAATGTCACACAAACCCATTGGGTATGCTTACTAGCATGCCTGTCAAGGGGCAATTTGGCATAAGTCATATGTGACTGGCATGTGGCTATTGAGAGTTAGCCCTATGGGACAACCTCAGCAGCTGTATCCTGCTTTGTTGCACTTACACAGTGACTGGGTGACCCATCTAGGTTCCATTGTCATACCTTGATGCCACACTATTGTTCATTGCCACCATATCTCGGTGCCATAATCCCATGTCATGGGTGTCGTATTTATGCTACTTGTCATGGGTGGGTGCCATTGACATGGTGCCATCGCCCCATCTGGATGCCATTGCCATGCCGTGATTGCCATCCTGTATTACTGTATGATGTCCCATTGTCTGAGTGGTGCCGTGGGCTATCCGGGTGCTGCCGTGCTGTGTCCTGTCGTGGCTGCACCACGTTGCGGCTCCCAGCGTCACTGTACTGCTGGTCATTGCTGTACTACTGCCGCTGTACCCCCCCTGCTGCTGTGTCACTGCCATGTCCTGATACCATTATGCCACTGTATTGTATCCTGGTACTGCTGTGCCACAGTCACATCCCTGTGCCACTGTGTCATGATCCTTGTGCCATTGTGCCACTGAACCCTCTCCTAATGCTGATGTGCCTCTGTGGTGCGTCCCAGTGCCACTGTACTGCTGTGTCCTGGTTTCACACGTGGGGTCTCTGCGAAGTTGTGGTGGGGTGGTTTACCATTATGTTGTATCCGTGTCTGTCGTGGCTCGGCGGCATCGTACCCATGTGTTGTGTCTCAATGCCACTGTACCGGTTTCCCGGTGTATACCGGCGTCGTGTGTCCATTCTCTTTGGCGCTGTAGTGAGTTTCTTCTATGTCGTATCCCATGTCGTATTCCGATGCCGCTGTAGCGCGTTTCTGTGGCGTTGTATCGATATGTTGTATCTCGATGCCGCTGTGCGATCGTCTTGTCCCGTTGCCGCTGTATCATAATCCCGGTGCGGCTTGTGGTTTGTCCCTTCCGGTGCCGCTATATCGCTGTGTTGTAATCACGGTACCGTTATGTCGTGCTGCTGTATCGCATCCCGGTGCTGCTGTGCTGCATCTGTCGTAATCGTTGTGCTGTTACGTCGTTTTCCTGTGCCGCTGTGTCATGTTCCGGTGCCTCAT